TCTCAATATATCAACAGGTATAGAGAGCCAATCTGAATTTCTTAAGCATAAAATAAGATAGTATATATCTCTCACTGACAGCCTGGTTTATGTTAACTGCCTCACATTGGGGAGTTATGGGGTGGTAGAGAGTACTAAAACCTTGATGCGTGCACGCGTGTGTGTGTGTGTGTGTGTGTGTGTGTGTTTACCCCTCCCTGCCTAGTGGGTTTTCAGTGGCCAGTACTCAGAACCCCAAGGCCTCACATTCATAATCAAGTCCAATAATGGTGGGGTGGTGTCCTGCCCCACGAATTTTAGGAATATGAGCAGACCAAGTCTCCAGGCCACCAAGCAGCTTGGTTGGTAGGCACACTAGTGACACATTAGAATTACTCAGGGATGCTCAGAATGCCTCTTCAGAGCCTCTGATGTTGGTATGCTCTGTGTTCACCTGTTATAGGGTCCTTGTAGGTGAAGCTGGGGATGAAGGAATAAGTGATCATGTGAAAACAAGAGGGTGTTACTGGGTCTGGGAATTCTATTCCCAGAAATAGGAAAGCCTATTCTTTACAGGATGGAGATCAGAACTTTAAATCCAAACACGCCTGAATTATTTGATGGTAACTCCCTGTCCTGCTCTCAGAGCTCTCTGCTACTGTCCAGCCACTTGCAAAGGTGGTATCGTTAGGTCTCTTGTTACTCTTTAACACTCGTATAGCAAATCATACGTGCTAAAAGTTTTTTTTTTAATCATTGTGTTCTTTGAGGTATAAGGTAGCTAACTGTAGAAATAGCATTAATACGTTTGAAGAAGAAAAACAAAGTGAAAGGATTTGCCTGACCAGATTTCAAGGCCTTTTAGGAAGTGATAGTAACAAAGATATTGTGGTATGGGCACCAGACTTGTTAGATCAATGGAACAGAATAGAGAGCCCCAGTTCAGACCCAGACACATATGGAAATTTGATATACAATAGAGATAGCAATACAAACCAGTGAGGAAAGAATGGATTATTCAATCAATGGTGGTGGGACAATTGGTTATCTATCTACCTACTTACCTATCTTATATTCCTACTACCCATCATAAACTCCAAGCAGATTAAAGAGCTAAATATGAAAAGCCAAATAATAAACTATTTAGAAGAAAACATAAAGAGGATGTTTTTATCACCTTGAGATAGAAAATAAATTCTTTTTTTATATGTTTATTTATTTTTGAGAGAGAGAGTGTAAGTGTGGGATGGGCAGAGAGAGGGGGACAGACGATCTGAAGTGGGCTCTGTGCTGACAGCAGGGAGCCCGATGTGGGGCTCAGACTCAATAAACAAACTGTGAGATCATGACCTAAGCCAAAGTCAGGGGCTTAACCAACTGAGCCACCCAGGCGCAGGAAAATAAATTCTTAAACCAAACACACAAAAAAACACAAAAATTAGGGAGAGGGATGATAAGTTTAACTACATTAAAATGAAAGTCTTATGTACAAAAGAAGGAAATGCACAAAAATTTCACTGAAGCAGTTTGCAACAGTTAAAAATAGGAAACTACCTAAATGTCCATAACCAAGGGGATATTTAAATTTTTTGTTGTGGACAACTGCCATTTGTTTTGACCATCCAGCCTCTGAACCAACTTTCTATCTTTGAGAACTCCTCTACTTGCCAAAGTGGAGCACACTTCCAGTATAGATGACCACAATGCCAGATTTTTGCTTTCTCAGTTCCCTCTGAAACTGGGGCCTAGGCACATGACCCAGTTTCTGCCAATCCGATGAACCTGGCCCAGATTTCCATGCAGCTGCAGGGGCTGCCCAGACCCTCCAGGCAGGAAGGGGCATCAGCTCTACATGGCTCCCAGAGGCTGTGCCGGCTATTGTTCTCAGGACAGTGTTGTGGGTCAGCAGGGTCCACCAGCAGAGTCAGCCCAGCAGCTGTGGCTGTGGTATCCGAACTGGACAAGTTCTACAGCACGACTGGGGACATTTTCCCTGGCAGTGGACCCTGCAAGCCTGATTCTTCCACCTTTCCAAAGATTTTCTAAGCTCTTTAGTGCATTCCTTTGTTTTTGTGCATTTGCTTAAATTGGCCAGTTTGTTTCTGCTGCTTGCAACTAAAACCCTAACCCTGATAGATTATGAATTATGATATATTTATGTAACATACATGGGAATGGCATACATCAAAATCAGAGTTAAAAGTTGAGTGAAATCAGGAGATGTCCTTGGGGCTATAAGTTGTATCTGAAATTATAATAATGAAAAAAATATATATATAGCAAATGTAGTAAAATACTAAGATTTGATAAAGCTTGGTGGTATGTACACAGCTGTTTGTTTTCTTTTTTTAGTATGTAAAGTGTTCTACATGCACACACTGATATGCGTATATATAAACTTTTACTATAATGAATACAGAAGCACTCAGATTCTGAAGGTTTCAGAGCAACAGTATTCTATTGAAATTTTTTGCCTCTCTTTCCAAAAAAAGAAGGTCCATTTCTGAGTTGGCCTGTTTCTAAATTCACTAGTAAACAATATGGCAGGAAAGGAGGGGAAAAAGACGTGACATTGAAAATAGGTTGGGTAGAACATGAAGGCAAGAACTGAAATAACATACTATATTTACATGTGTGGGTTTTATTATCACAAGGAAATATATAATCATCATTTCTCAGAAATGTGCTTCTACCAAGGGGAAGAATCAAGATATTTTGAAAAGCACAACTTCAAAAAACACAACTGGGCATTTATCACATTTACTAAGTTCCTCAGGTTCAGCATAAAGAAAATGAAGCCAACATGGCACAGAAACAGACACTCAGATCAATGGAACAGAATACAGAACCCAGAAATGGACCCACAAACATATGGCCAACTAATCTTTGACAAAGCAGGAAAGAATATCCAATGGAAAAAGACAGTCTCTTGAGCAAGTGGTGCTGGGAAAACTGGACAGCGATATGCAGAAAAATGAAACTGAACCACTTTCTTACACACACACACAAAAATAAACTCAAAATGGATGAAAGACCTCAATGTAAGACAGGAAGCCATCAAAATCCTCAAGGAGAAAGCAGGCAAAAACCTCTCTGACCTTGGGCACAGCAACTTCTTACTCAACATGTCTCTGGAGGCAAGGGAAACAAAAGCAAAACTGAACTATTGGGACTTCATCAAAATAAAAAGCTTCTGCACAGAGAAGGAAACAATCAGCAAAACTAAAAGGCAACCAATGGAATGGGAGAAGATATTTGCAAACGACATCTCAGATAAAGGGTTAGTATCCAAAATCTATAAAGAACTTATCCAACTCAACACCCAAAAAACAAATAATCCCATGAAGAAATGGGCAAAAGACATGAATAGACACTTCTCCAAAAAAGACATCTAGATGGCCAACCAACACATGAAAAAATGCTCCACATCACTCATCATCAGGAAATACAAATCAAAACCACAATGAGATACCACCTCACACCTGTCAGAATGGCTAACATTAACAACTCAGGCAACGACAGATGTTAGTGAGGGTGCGGAGAAAGAGGATCTCTTTTGCATTGTTGGTGGGAATGCAAACTGGTGCAGCCACTCTGGAAAACAGTACGGGGTTCCTCAAAAAGCTAAAAATAGAACTACCCTATGACCCAGCAATTGCACTACTAAGTATTTATCCAAGGGATACAGGTATGCTGTTTCGAAGGGGCACATGCACCCCAATGTTTATAGCAGCACTATCAACAATAGCCAAGGTATGGAAAGAGCTCAAATATCCACTGATGGATAAATAGATAAAGAAGATGTGGCATATATATACAATGGAGTATTATTTGACAGTCAAAAAGAATGAAATCTTGCCATTTGCAACTATGTGGATGGAACTAGACGGTATTATGCTGAGCGAAATTAGTCAGTCAGAAAAAGACATATAATATGACTTCACTCATATGAGGACTTTAAGACACAGAGCAGTTGAACACAAAGGAAGGGAAACAAAAATAATATAAAAACAGGGTGGGGGACAAACATAAGAGACTCTTAAATACGGAGAACAAACACATTTACTGGAGGGGTTGTGTTAGCTAATTTGGATATAAATTTTTAAAATAAAATTAAAAAAAAAAAAAGAAAAGATGAAGCCAACACTGAATATTTTAATGATAATAAAAAATACTCTTCTAGCTACCAGGAATGCCAGTTTTCAGTAACTTAATTAAAATATTTTATTTAACAAATTTCAGCATCACACAAAAATTCTTTAGGTGTAATTAAAATTCACAGAGTTTGTTTTTATAAGCCTCATAACCTCCCAGAAGTTTTGTGGAAACTTATCCCTACATTACAGATGTTAATACTAAAGCATAAAAAAGTCAGAAGATTTACAGTGACACTGAGAGTTAGTGATGGATGACAGATCCAAATTTAGCTTTCTGATGTCCATTCTGGCTAGTGGGTTACATAATTTATCCAGTCTATTAATAGACATAAGTCAACTCAAAAGTATTCTGTAGATATTTCACTTCCAGTCAGTGAGACAGCAGTATTGTAACAGAAAAAAATACACACGGGTTCACGTTCCAGCTCTATCAGTTACTACTTGTGTGCTTTAGTTATATTATTGAATTTCCTGAGCTCCAGTTTTCCCCACTTGTAAGAGGGAATGAAGTAAGTATCTTACAGACCAGTCTCAATGCATTCTTCTTGCATTTGTTAAACTGCAATTAACGCTCTAAATCTCATCCTTATTGGTCAATTATTTGCAATCATTTGGATTAATTAATTCCTCTGAACTGACATAGCTTATGTCTGTTTCAGAGCCACAGGTGCTTATATAACTGAAAAGCCTTACGTTGAACTCTTTCAGTGTTTTCACAAGTATTTTAGTATGCTGATGCATAAAATTCTGTCCAGAATTAAATGTAAATGCTTTACAAAAGTAGCCACTTTGGTTCTTTTCAAAGTGATGTTTTTTCTGTCCATTCAGTTCTTTAAACATGATTTCTAACCATTACATTTCTAGGCTTCCTCTTCCTCCCATTGAGAGCAAGGACGCATGGTTTGCTTCCCAGCTGCTTTGTCCTGTGGTCCTCAGGAGGACACTGTGTGGGAAGGAAGGGGGCACATGCCAATGTGGCACTTACAGCATCCCTGAAGTGACAGACCTGGAGTATGATCACCTTATAAGCACCCAGCTGTCCTCCGTGCATCAGGTCATTATAGTCCACGTGACCTCAGCTAAGGAAACAGACAAGACTATAAAAGAAATGGCCCAAGTGTATAGGAAACTGAACAGATCCAAAAGCATGCCTTGCATTCAGGTGGGTATCATGTGTATTAAGACAAACTGAATAATGTCTACGCGCATGTTACATCTTAATACATTTCCTCAGCCACACAAAAGATTGTGGAGGAATTTTTCCCCTGCTTTTGTAATTGAAGTATGACCTTCATATAATAAAGGTCGCAAATCTTAAGGGCATATAGCTTAATGAATTTTTGTGTATGTGTATACCTATATAATCACCAGCCAGATTAAGATATAGAATATTTCCGGACCCCAAAAAGTTCTCTCTGACCCTTTTCAGTCAGCAATCGCCCTGCCTCCCACCCCTGGTAACCGCTTTTCTGACTTCCATCACCATAAATTAGTTTTATCTGTTTTAGATGTTCGTATACATGGAATTACACAGTATGCACATTTTGAAACACACAGTACATTTTTATGCCTCTTTTGCCAGAGGCTAGGAATGGTAAATACCAGGCATGCCAATATCCTCCCATTCTGCATCCATGGTGGACATTACTGATCCATCATTCTTTTCAACTGAGCCTAGATTGGGCCCTAACTCTTTTTCCTGACTGCACTGCTAGTAACTACTACCAGCGGATCTGAGTAGTAACTCATGAAGCCTCTTCTATATGATAGCCTTTCCCCTCAAGAGTATTCTCTAAGTCTTATTGATTGTATCACTATGTCACTTTTTTTCCTATATGTGCCTTTTCTCCAGTCCCACTGCTTCTGCTTATTTCAGGCCTTCATCATCTCCCATCTGATTTTCTCCAGTGGCCTGACTAGTTTTCCTGCTTTCTGGTCTTGGTGCCTGTGATATTTCCTACATGTTGCGGGGTGCTCTTTTTAATACATGGACATGACTGCATCATTCTCCTGCTTAAAATCTTCTAAGGACTTCCTTTCAGGCCACATCCAAGTTCTTTCATGTGACGTGGAGGGCCCCTCCCAGTGGGGCTCTTCCCTCCCTGACCAATTCCCTGTTCTAACCCCAGCAATGGCCCCAGGGGACATATTAAAGAACCTCTGCAGGGTTCAGGTCTTGTTCTGCATCAGGTTGAAGCATGTGGAAGCTGAGGGCAGGACCGTGTCACCTCTTGCAGAGCTTTGTCCACTGATTGGGCTTTTGAGACATTGCCCTAAATAGCCCTGAGCTTCTTTTGAGGGATGTTACATTATATTCCCCAGGCCTAGTGTTCCCCTAGATGAAGCCCGATATGAAAATTGTCTTTCTGAATGAGAAGCTAGAATAGCTTTACTTCCCATGAGGATCCTGTATGTTTCCTCTTTCCCGGTAATGAGATTTTTGGTACCCAACTGGGTTTCTCTCTTTACTTGGCCTGAAAGTACAGAGAAAAGTTTTAAACTGAATTATAACAATAGATTAAGAACTTATGGGCCACTTATCTGAAATCCATTTTTTATTTTGGATCCAGAGCTTGTATTGATACTGAAATTTTCTCATCATAATTTTTTTTTATTTATAATTTTCTCTTATACTATTCTTGCTCCCTATAAACCTCCTTGAATCTTTTGCTAAAAAGGTAGAATATAAACAAACAAGTTTAAAAGGTAAGTTTTGATGAAGGAAATATTTCATCTAACAGAATTGATAGCAACCTTGCAAGAAAGTGACATGTCACTTTGTAACTCTAAACGGTGAAGAAAGAGAATATGGGTGTAATTGGCTGGATACCCTAGACTTCCATAAAGTAGATTCTTTTTTTAGATCATAAAAATGAAGGGAATATTCTCATACCAGAGACCCTAAAGGGAATACAAATAAGAATGGGGAAGGTTGTAAAACACAGAAAGTTCACCCTAGAACTCCAGTCTCCCATCAAAAAGGTTGCCTGGTCAGACTAGGGTCTTGGCTCTCTCTTCATTCTCTTTCATTCCACCTAACCAGGGAACCATGAGGCCTGCACAATGGTGAAATTGTTAAGCTGCACTTGGAAGCTGGACAGCAATGAGAATTCACCGGATGCTCTGATGGAAGCCTCAAGGGTGTAGACAAAGCTCCTAAAAGGGTAGCCTGAGCCACAGAGTGTGTGGGATGGGTTCTGGGAGCTCAGGGAGAACTGTTTCTAGGAGTGGCAGCCCCACCCTTCCAGCCTGCACTGAATCCAGATTCCTCTGCCCACAGTTGGAATCTTCTTGATGGCAGGACCGTGTCTTGGTCACCATTGTAGCCCTAGTGCCTATCACTGGGCCTAGTGCATGGTTAACATCTAAAACGTATTTGTCAAATGAATAAATGAACCAACGAATGAGTAAATTTTTTTTAGCCTAAACGCCAGTTATGGGGGTATATGGTCACTGCTACTTCTTTCTTAGTTTCATGGGAGATGCTCTGGGACTATGGGCTTGTGAACGGAGCTAGGGCTCCCCTGAAGAGACAGACAAGCCAAGTGGATGAGAGAGCAAGACCATAGTTAGGAAGAGTTCAACTCTTCACTGAAAAAGACAATGATGTGCATCAAATCCCAAGGGCTCTAATATCCTTGGTGCAAACAGTACCTGCCATCCCCCCTCTCCCTCTATACCTGGCATCTAGTAGACACTCAGGAAATGTTTGTTCAACTGATCTGAAGTGACAAAGTCAGAATAAGATCAAAAAAGCAATATTTATTGAGCATTTACTGTGTTGCAACCACTATTTACCCGGAATATCATTTAGTTCTCAAAAGAATTGCAAATGGCTGGCTCTCTGCACGTGAGTCTATTGAGCACAGGTGAATAACTGAGACACAGGACAGTTAGGTCACTTGTTCAAGGTTACTCAGTTAAAAAGTGGTGGGGCTGAGATTCACACCAATTAGTCTTACTCCAGGAAGCACACTCTTAAGCACCACGCTCTACCATATAGCATTGTGGAGTAGGAAAAGCAGTGGCTTAGGGGGGCAAGAGTGAAATCAAATGAGATGAATGGATTGGGAGGAATGGCTCATATCCAGCACCTCAGAAATGTGTGCCTGGGCATGTGGAGGCAGGAGGTGTGGAAGGGGCTTCGTATGTATGCTCAGCAGGAATTGTAGAGACCAGAGCATCTGATAAAATGAGCCATGTCTCACTGAATCCTTCTAATAATGAGGAAATAAGTCCCCAATGCTCCTAATATCTACTTGAGGATGAAACTTTTTGATAGCACAATTCTGAATATTTATTGATTCAGATAACAAACATTCACTGAGTTCCTACAACATGCTGGGGAGTGTGATAATAACTTGAGATAGCAAAATGAATCAGACTCTGATCTTGTCCTCAAGGAAAAAACAATCCAGAGAACAGTCATGACTCATGACATGTTGAAATGAGTGCCTGGTCAGAAGTATCAATGGAGCATTTAGACAAAAAGTGGCTTGCTGGACTAGTAAGACTAGTAAGAATTAACTGGGTGAATATTTACCACAAATGGCATTTTGGAAGGCATGTTGGAAAACTGTACGTTGGAAAGCAAAAGGATAGCAAACTGTAGGATGAATCTGGGAAATAGGAAATGAATCAGTATTAGGGGGTGCATGTTGAGGAAGCTAGTAGCCAAAGAAGTTAGTGAAAGACTGACTATGAGGTTTGATAAAGAATTTGAACTCTCCTTGAAGAGGAAGAAGAGTCATTAAAGGGTTTTAAGCACAGAAGTGACAGTAAGAGATTTTGTATTTTAGTTGGATCATTTTGACAGAATGGTCTGGAAAAGATTGGGATGACAAAGAGACCTATTATCGCAATTTACACAAGAGAGAAATGATCAGGCAGTAGCAGTGGGAGTGGAAAAGGATGCTGAGTCTGAGTGATGGATAGAAGCGAGACTCTGTAAGACTTGATATGTTGAGTGAGGGAAGAGTTTAAGACATCTTCTACCTTCTTGTTTGGACAGTTAGAAGAATGGCGGTACTATTTTGTTTTGAGATAGGGAATTCAGAAGGACAAGGATAAGAAATATCTGTTATCCATTACCAAGTAATAAACCACCCCAAAACTTGCAAACATAGAACAACAACCACATATTTACTCATGACCCTCTCGGGATTTAGCAGGGATGACCGGAATATGCTTCACATAGCACTGGCTTGGGCAGTTTGAGTACAGCTGGAGGATTCAAGAATAGCCTCATTCACATGGCTGGCAGGTAGTACTGCTGACATTTAGGAGTTCAGGAATGGCTATTGGCCAGGGACCTCTATTTGAAGGCCTCTCTACAGAGTTATTCTGGTTTCCTCACAAAGCAGTGTCCATATTTTGAGAAGGAATGTTCCAGAGGTGAATATGGAATCTGGAGATCTCTTAAGGCCTGGCCTCAAAAGTTATACAGTTATACTTTTGGTCAAAACCTATCACAGGGCCAGCCCAGATTCAAGAGGAGTGGAAATAGACCTCCATCTCTTGATGGGTAGAGTGGTAAAGAATTTATAGACATCTTTAGGCTACCACAAGAACGTTTAAAGAGGGGTGGCTGACTGGCTCAGTTGGTAGAGCTTGTGACCCTAGATCTTGGGGTCACATAAGCCCTACATTGAGTGTAGAGCCTACTTAAAAAAAAAAAGAATGGGGGCACCTGGGTGGCTTGGTCAGTTGGGTGTCTGATTTCACCTCAGATCATGATCTCATGGTTCATGGGTTTAAGCCCCACTTCAAGCTCTGTGCTGACAGCTCAGAGCCTGGAGCCTGCTTCAGATTCTGTGTCTCCCTCTCTCTCTGTCCACCCCCTGCCAACCCCCACTTGCACTCTGTCTCTCTCTCTCTCTCAAAAATAAATAAAGATTTAAAAAAATTTTTTTTAAAAAGAATGAAGAGAAAGATGGAAAAATTCAGATTGGGCATGTTGAGTTGGGGGTACCAGAGTGACATCAAAATGGGACATCAAGAAGTAGGCAGTTCAACCCACAAGTCCAACACTCAGAGGAGGCCACTAGCTTTGGAGGACATTTGGTAGACAGAAATAGTAGTTAAAAGTATGAGTGACCAAAGGGGTATGTGAAGAGAGTGAATAGCAGGAGGCAAGAATGGAGATTTTTAGATATTTAGAAGTCAGGTAGCAATGGGGCTCCTGGATGGCTCAGTGGTTAAGCATCTGACTTCAGCTCGGGTCATGATCTTGTGGTTTATGAGTTAGAGCCCCATATTGGGCTCTCTGCTGTCAGCTCAGAGCCCGCTTTAGATCCTCTGTCTCCCTCTCTCTCTGCTTCTCCCCTCTCTCAAAAATTAATTTTTAAAAATCTTAAAGAAGTAGAGAAAAAATTATGCGTGACAAAGACTAGGATGGTACACATAGAGAAAGAAAACAGAAGAGTGGGACCAGAAAAGCCCAGGAAAGAGTTTGAGAAGGAGGACTGTTCAGTAATTTCAAATGTCTTAAAGAGGTCAAGAAATAGAAGAAACATGAAAATGTCCACTGGCCTTGGCAATACAGAGGTCTTTGATGAGTTTTTGAAGCGGGCATTCCTGATGAGTGGTAGGAATAGAGTTTAGAATTGTTGATTCAGATACAAATACTGCTGAATGGAGCAAGGGATTTTTTACTTGGGATTTAATGTCTTTACAACGTTTTGCTTTTTTAGAGTTGTTCAGATCCCTTTCGATTGCTCAAATACAACATCACCTCTGCATCTAAATTTACTGGAAACAGTTGTCCACTTCTGGTTCAAAGGCACAATGTCATTCCAGGAATTTTTTTGGTATGTACTTTGAGATATATGACTTTTTTAACCAGCCTACTATGTTGTATATGTGTATGATGTTGAGCATGATGTTGAGATTATTCATAGAGTACACAAAAGAATGGAGAGAATGAGGAAATAGATAAGCTCAAATCACAAACTTCCTTGGTACCCCCTTGACTACCCCCTTGACTAATAGTTGTAGATATTCTTATAACTATTGGGTTATCATTCTGGTTACTTTAGTGAAGTTAAAAACTTGATTATCTGGTGGCGCCTGGGTGGCTAGTTGGTTAAGTGTCCTACTCTTGATTTCAGCTCAGGTCAAGAGCTCATGGTTTGTGAGATCAAGCCCTATTTCAGGCTCTGTGCTGACAGCATGGAGTCTGCTCGTGATTCTCTCCTCTCTCTCCCTCTCTCTCTCTCTCTCTCTCTGCCCCTCCCTGCTCATTCTTTCTCTCTCCCTCTCTCTCCAATAAATAAATAAACTTAAAAAACAAAAAAACAAAAAACTCTGTTAACACTGAGGTGATCAAATCCTCTACCTCCTGAGTAGATATGGGATTATAAATGCTAAAATTTAATTATTGCATTTAAGAAGATTATAACCTAATCAAGGAGATAGGATACATAATATCCATATTTTAAGACTGAACAGAATAACTACTGTGACTGAATCAGCCCAGTACAGTACAGAAAGCATGAACTTTGAAAACAAACAGACCTGAGTCCAGACCTTGGTTCTACTATTTGCTGGCTATATGACCTTGGGCAAATTACTAAGCCTCTGAGCCTGTTTCCTCCCTTACAAAAAGGGAAAATGTAACCAACTCATAAAATTATAAAAATTCATGGGGCGCCTGGGTGGCGCAGTCGGTTAAGCGTCTGACTTCAGCCAGGTCATGATCTCGCGGTCCGTGAGTTCGAGCCCCGTGTCGGGCTCTGGGCTGATGGCTCAGAGCCTGGAGCCTGTTTCCGATTCTGTGTCTCCCTCTCTCTCTCTGCCCCTCCCCTGTTCATGCTCTGTCTCTCTCTGTCCCAAAAATAAATAAACGTTGAAAAAAAAAATTTTTTTAATAAAAAAATAATAAAAAAATTATAAAAATTCAGTGAGATAATGTGCATAAAGTGTTTGTTTCAATTCCTGGCACATCGTGGATACTTAATAAATGTTAATTCCCTTCCACCAATTTTTCAGTTCAACAAATGTGTATGGAATGTCCACTCTATGCCAAGCACAATATTGGGTACTGCGGATACAAAAAAAAAAAAAAAAAAAAAAAAACTCCTCTTGCCCAGGGGGCCCCGGTCGGAGGGGGGGGGGGGGGGGGGGGGGGGGCGGGGGGTGCGGTGCAGTCTGCAGCTTGCTGAGAGGTATGAGATGTGAGCTGAACCTAAAAGTGTTTTGATACAGAGAGGTAAGAAGGAGAGGGATGTTCCAGGGAGAAAGGGATGTTATTAATAAAGGCAAAGGCTCAGAGCACAAGGAATCTGGAAACCTGGATTTTAGTCCTGCACCTTCCACCATAACCAGCTGTACATGTTTGGGATGATCTCATTGGCAAGCATACAGGACTGAATTAGATCAGTGGCTCTCACCACTGGCTCCTGCCTTAGGTGCATGAAAAAATGATTTCTGGGTCTCACACTGGAATAGTTAAATCAGAATTCCTTTGGATGAGATCGGCATCAGCTTTTTTTTTTTAATGTTTATTTATTTATCTTGAGAGAGAGAGCACATTCACATAAGCAGGGGAGGGACGGAGAGATAGAGGGAGAGAATCCCAAACAGGCTCTGCCTGTCAGTGCAGATCCCGAAGCAGGGCTCAAACTCACGAACCATGAGATCATGACCTGAGCCGAAATCAAGAGTCAGATGCTTAACCAACTGAGCCACCCAGGGGCCCTGAGTATCAGCTTTACATCAACCTTATTATGATACATTTCACATACAATACAATACACCCACTTTATTGTACAGTTTCGAGGACTTTTGACAATGCGCACACTTGAGGAACTGCCTCCACCACAGGAAGTTTCCCTCAGCCCCTTAGCTGTAGTTCTTCCACCTTCATCCCCAGGCAATCACTGATCCATCCGCTTTCTGTTGCTATAGATTAGGTTTGCCTTTTCCAGATTTTCATCTGAAAGGGCTCAAATAATAAGCATTCTTTCATCTGGCTATTTGAGATTTCAATGTTTTTTTAAACTTCCCTGGATGATTTTAATGAAGAGCAATAGACTGGATACTCTCAGGATCCTTCTAGCCCCCAAAATATCATGGTTTCATCTGCTAGGCTAGAGATATTTTATAAAAATTGCATTTTAGTAATAATAAGTATGACTGCTGTCATTGTAATAATTATGATAACACTAACACTAATGCTTATTGAGCTTTTGCTATGTGCTCAGGCACTGTGCTGTTACTCATCTGTATTTTCCTATTCTAAATCCCTACAGCAGGAATTAACCTCTGAGGGGGTAGGTGCTAATATTGTTCCTGATAATAGGGATGGAAACTAATCTTTAGGGAGATTAAGTAACCTGTTCAGGGCCAAGAAGCTAGTTAGCAAGTGGTGGGATAAGGATTCAAATCCAGATTTCCCTCCGATAAACAGAGACTTTACTTTTAATCAAGATGCTACAAAAGCATCTTCCCACAAAGTGAAGTTTCAGCCCCCACTACTTCAGAAGAAGTGAAAGTGATACCAGATGAATGCTTTCAGCTTGTTTATGGGTTCCAGCTGGGGAGAAGAAACTAATTTAAAGGTACATTTAGCAAGAAAGACTTAAGGCAAAGAGCCTTGCACCTTAACATGAAAAGTAAGCCTGTTTGTTGGGAGCGTCAAATGACAGTGAAGACTACAGTGATGCAGGAAGAGAGAAACCGGGCAGAGGCTGCATCCACGCATGTCTGCTGAGATGTATACAAAACAGAGATAGCAAGAGCGCATCTACTGATTTCCCTCCAGTGAAGGGAATAACCTCAGATTTCAGTCCACATATACACCAAAAAAAAACCTTTTTTTTTTACTTTTCAAAGTAAACATCCACTGTCACTATGAACAATGAACAATGAGTCTTATTCTGTGGTAGGGAAATCTTCCCACAGTACCTGGCAGGTGATCAAATACCTCCCTGCTTCTGCAAGCCTATTTGAACCTGTGAGTCTTAGCAGACCTGCTTGGTTGGTTATAGTCTATGCTTCCTATAAATTTACTAGTGGTTAAAAAAAAAAAAAAATCATGGGCAAAATGAAAATGTATGTCCTCCTTAAGTTGCATTCATCCGTGACAGCCAAATCAAAGTCCTTTTAGCTGAGATCCTCCCAATTCCAGGTAGGAGAATATTGACAATTATTTTGTGATCACCTAAAACAAACAAGGTCCTATTTAAATGCTGGCTGCCAAGCCAAGAGCAAAGCTAAGGCCTCAGCCCACCTACCTGTTTGTCCACTGGGTGACAGTGTTGATCCATCTGATACAAGTGTGCTTTGTCTGGGCCCAAAAACCTGCGGGGAAAGATTGCAGCCAGATGGCTTTCTGAGGGCCTTGGGGAATGGCTCTGTCTTTCTTCTCAGAGCATGGCAGAATCATTGTTTTCTTTATTTTTCAAGGAAAAAATGTGAGGTGTAGAATTGTTCCAATGTTGCCACTTTTCTTTGGGCAAAGTGGTACAGAGAACGGAGGTGATTGTCCATAATATATTAACCCTCATTTTCCTCACAATGTAACAAAGGCAAAAAGCCTGCAAAGAGCACTGTGAAAACCCAGCTGAAAATCCATTCCAGCTGTTTACTTAGATGCATTGGGATGGATCAGTTCTTTACCCAAGGTGTTCACTCATATACAAATGTGCTAGTTGATGGGATTTGCATTGCCCACAGCTCTAAAGAGGGACAAGATTGTGGAGAATCATTTCCAATTTGCCAGGGCACAGTTTTACATTGTTCCATCTGTTCTGACATGATCCCTGTCTTCAGGAGGAGAAATAGATAAGCTAGAACAAATACTGTAGTAAGATTTGATGTGATCAGTAGAATGATGGAGGTATGTTATAATACAAGAGAGGAAAGTAGATGATGGAACTATCCATACTCCTACTTTAAAAGGACAAGACAGAAAGTGAGTTGACTCTTTGCTTCAAGATGCTAAGAGGGTTGGTTTGTGCAATTTTTGTTCTCTTTTGCTCCTCAGCCCTAACATGGCAAGGACAATGATTTAAAATATGGGGACTCCTCATTATATAGTGAGCAATAAAGTCATGTTAATGTGGTACTCTGTTCCAAACTCTTTTTTAGTCAGGTTGAAAGACTAATATAGAATGAATTATCAATTTAAGAAAATTTAGCATCTAACAAGTTTTTTTCCCCCCTCCTTTGCTTTATTTATATTGCTTGGTCAGATCTATTTGTGCTGATAAGTTAGCACATTTATATTTTATTATTACACTTAACATGACAAAGCTTTGGGGTTTCTTTCATACTTAAAAATACACTAAAACTGCAGTAGTATTTTCTTAGGGAGTTGTGCTGGAGTTCTGAGGCCTTCAAGTGTGGGTTAGAAATACAAACACATTGTCTGGCTGCTTGAAGATTGGGCTTTCACTTTCTAGGACTCGCATAAACACGGAGCAACATGGAACAAGGGGCCATAGAAGCCAGAATGTGAAGCTCTTGAGCTGTAAACGACTTCCTTGTCACTGCCCTTTGGACACTTAAAGGCCTCTCTAGGCCTTAGCTACCACATTCAGACAGCATGGACCTATTTAGGGCAAACTATAACCACAAGCATTATGATATTCTCTTCAGTGCATATTAAGAACATTTTATCAGAGCTTTGGTATTCTCTACTCAGCAGGGATCTACCATTTCATCAGCAGGGAGAGTAAAAGGATTTATAAGAGGTGGCTTTGAGCAGGGGAAGTTGAGAACTTTCTGGGACTCACCAGAGCAGAATGGATTCTCCTAGGAAGCAGAGCCAATCTGCAGTGTGTCCCACTGTGTCTGTGTGCTCCAC